TCCAGGAGTCCCAGTGTTCTCTTCATTCCAGGAGTCCCAGTGTTCTCTTCATTCCAGGAGTCCCAGTGTTCTCTTCATTCCAGGAGTCCCAATGTTCTCTTCATTCCAGGAGTCCCAATGTTCTCTTCCTGGTGTCCCCATCTCCCCACTGCTCTGCTGGGACAGAGCTGTGGGATTGGGGTGTTGGCCTGTCTGCTGTCTGCTTTGGCTTGGAAAGCAACAGAGAAAGAACTGCCCCCTTTGCCTAAAATGCCTCTGTTTTGAGGGGTTTTTAGATGATCTGGAGGCAGAGGAACTGTCTGGCACACTGGCACACCTGCAGTGGTTGTGCCCTGCTAACACACATTGTTTGGCTCTTTTAAAAATGCTTCCTTTATTGTTATTACCAGGACAAAGGTAGTGGCAGGAGCTGCCCTAATCTGTGTCACCTTAGGCTGCATTAAAGGCCTGGCTGAACAGGCTTTAAGGTCTTTTCCAGCAAACTTGTGAGCTACAGCACCAGCAGAACTATTGAAAGGGGTGAGGTCAGGCTCTGATTGTACTTATCCTGGAGAACTTGAGAGAGAAATAAAGAGCATGTGTTAAGGAAACCCTGAGCCTGGTCCTCTGCCAGGTGTGGGATTTGCTTTTGAGCTCAGTGCTTGCCAGCAGTGAAGGAATGGGAGCATCCATGTGGGCTGTGTGGGCTCCATGTGGCTGGTATTTTCAGAAGTGTGTGTGGGATTTCAATTCCCAGTGGTGAAACTTAACTTCAGAAAATGGACAGTCTGTATGTGGTTTTACAGATTCCACCTAATTTTGTCTCTTTTATGCATATAGTGAGTGTGGCCTGGCTGGGGGTCCGGGTCTCTGACTGTGCTGTGTTACACTTCTGGTTTAAAAACTCACAAAGCAGGACTGCTGTTTTCTGCTGCACTTGGAACGTTTGTTCCCCTCAGGTCTGTTAGTTTATATTTCCCAGCAGTAGTGTTGGGCATTTCTGTGTGTTGTGTGACTGATGCAGCAGCTGTCCTGACCTTGCTGATGGATGTGGTGATTCCCAGCACCATGGGAACATTAGCAGGAGAGAACATACACTGTTCTTTCATGTTTGACCTCCGGATTCCCTGTGAAGCAGGGTTTTGTTGGTTCTTCACCATCTCTTGTAGCTCAGGAGCTTTTGGTATGGTGTATGCTGCTCAGAAGCTCATCAATATTTAGACTTTCTCTTTCCTTCTAAGCCTTCCAGTTTTGGGGGGTGATCAGTTTTCCCTCAGAAATCATTTGACCAGAGCAATATTTTATGTGCTAGCTCTTGCCCTTCCCTTTCTGCCCAGATATGGCAGGTGTGAATACAACTGAACACCTTTTACAGCAGCATGGCTGGCAATATCAGAAATGAGCCATGGCCATGGGAGTGACCAGGGTAGTGTAGATTATTCTTCTCTTTGTTCTCATGATATTTCTTTCTCTTCTCTCTGATTTTAGACTTTGAAGAGGAAGGAGAAAGAATACGAGCACGAGATGGAGCGGCTGGCGAGGGAGAAGATCGCCATGCAGCAGCGCTTGGCTGAGCTGAAGAACGAGCTGAGCCAGTGGATGGATGTCTTGGAGATCGACAGGATTATCCGACAGACAGTTCAGCCAGAGGATGACCAGGCATCTACCTCCACAGCATCAGGTACCCACAGTTCTTCCCTTTTTCTTGTAATCATCACAGAAAGTCGTTGACACAGTTACATGGGGGTGATGGGGATCTTCAGTCAGCGTTCAGAATAAAATAAAAGGTTTTGGAGTGTTTGTAATGGGTGATGTTGTTAATAACACACTGCTGCTCATGTGAAGTAAACTGAAACTTGTGCATCACTTGTCAGGTAGATGCAGAGTGCAGGTTTGCACATCCATCCTCACTGTGGAGCTAAATCCATGCTTTCCAAACTTAGCTTTCTTCTTGCACCACTCTGCAGCCCTGCTCATGACAAGCAGGCATCCTGGTGTATTTGTGTGCATGTGGGAGGGCGTTCAGCACACACAGAAGAAAGATTTAGTACGAGGATCACCAGAGCATTTGAACAGCTTAAAGAGCCTTCACATTGCATGAAAAGGAAGATGAAATGACACTGATGGGTATCTGACGTGTTCCCAGTGCCAAGTTTCTGCTTCCCTCCACACCAGAGATGCAGCAAGAAGAGTAGGCAGTCTGTGGATGTGCAGCTTTCCAGAGGAGGCTGTAGCACTGCATCACCATTCCCAGCAGCTCCTTCAAGGCAGCGTTTGCTCTTGCATGCCAGGCAGATGATAGAGCAGGTTCTGTGAAGGGAAAGGCTGAGTTGGTTCAGGCTCATCACATCTGTTCCTAGGTGCAGGCTCCAGTGTAGGCTGAGGGGAGCTGGGAGTGGCTTTGTCATGAGAAGGGCTGGCTGTTCCCTCTGCAGTGGCCTCTGCCAAAAGTGACTGCATCAAGTTCTTGTTGGCCAGAGCTTGTGAAGGGGAAATGTCTTCCCTGGTGTTCCTGCCTCCTCTGTCTTCTGAGATTCTTGTTCTTTGCTGCATGGCTGTTAACAGAGCAGGCAGTGCAGAGTGCAGTGTTTTGTCTTCCTGATCTCAGGGCCAGTGTGCTCCTGCTTTGCTTCCTTAGCTCCTGGACTGGACAGGAGTCCATTTTCCAGAATCAGACAAGAGCTTGCTGCCTTGTTTCTCCGTGGCTGTTTCCTTTCTGCTTTGGGAGCAGAGGGGCTGGTGCTGATCACTGAAAGCTGTTCCTCTTCCCAGAAGGAGCCCAGACTGAGCTCAGTCAGGTGCTTTGTGTCAGCCTCTGCTCATGGTGCTCCCTGTGGCTGCCCAGTGAGACCCTGTTGGGAGCACCCAGCAGCTCTTTGGGCTGTCACCCCTGCCTGGCTCCCTGTGCTTGGTCCTCAGGCAGCAAGGACAGTGCCTGCCATCCCATAATGCCATGCCATTGTGCCACCAGCCTGTAGCTCAGTGACACCTCCTGCTCTTCTCTTCTGCTGATGCTGCCTTTTAGGGAGGCTCCTTGGTCCAGTGTGTGCTCTGCTTGCTTTTTCACGGAGTTTCTTCCTTGCGTGTTTTCCAGAGGGTGAAGACAACATGGATGAAGATATGGAGGATGACAGGCCAGTGAACTCGTTACCAAAACTCACTCAGCGGCAGCACCCGGAGCTGCTGAAAGCCGTCCCCCCCAGCGCCGCTGCGCCCCTGGCCGCGGTGCTGCCCCCGCACGTGTCCATCCAGCAGAAACCCCCCAGCCAACCCCCCCTGCAGCCCCAAACGCTGCTCCCGCCGCCGGCCATCGTCCCCGCACAGACTCACATCGTGGCGGCCTCCACCGTGCAATCGACTGTTATCGCCCACACCGCCACCACGCACGCCTCGGTCATCCAGACCGTCAACCACGTCATCCAGGGCCCGCAGCCCAAGCACATCGCTCACATCGCACCTTCCACCTCCAGCCCCGTGCAGCTCAGCCCCGCCGCGCAGCCCATCGGCCACATCACTGTGCACCCCGCAGCCATCAACCACATGGCGCAGCTGCCGCTGTACCCGCAGCCCGTGGCCGTCAGCCAGCCCGTGGTCAGCCACATCGCCCACACCATCTCGCACCAGCAGGTGAACGGCAGCGCGGGGCTGGGCGCGCCGGCCGTGATGGCCAAACCGGCTGTAGGAACGCAGGTTGTGCATCACCCGCAGCTGGTGGGCCAGACGGTCCTCAACCCCGTGACTATGGTGACCATGCCCTCGTTCCCGGTGAGCACGCTCAAGCTGGCCTAGAGGGGACTGGGAAGCTTTCCCCAGGAAAGGAAACTCCACACATTCCAGCACATACCGGGAGGGAAGGAAACCCTGCAGGAACGCCCCGCCGGCCACGGGGCCGCTCCACACTCCCACCCGCTCATTGAGAAACTTCAAAGACACTTGGTCATGGTGATTTTTTTTCCTTTTATGTGTAATGAGTGAACTATGGATATGATGTTCTTAAGACTTTTAATTTTGCCCTCTTATGTGTTGCTTCTTTGTAGAATAAAAATTGCTGATCTCTTTATCGAGATGTTGCGTAGAATGGGAAAAAAAAAATCATAGAAGTCTATATTTATATATATGTGTGTATGTGTGTGTATATATATGTATATACATATATATATAAATATAACATTTGAAGGCCTTTTGTAAGGTTGATTATTTTGCAGGATTATGAGACAAAATTCATTTTGGGAGGAAGAAGACAGTGTCCTCTCTAAACAAGAAACTATAAGATAGATGGTTTGGTGGACCAGAGTACAGTGACAAAAAAAAAAAAAACCCCAACAACAAACCACGAGTCAAACCATGTTAAAGGTATTTCCCATCGATATATTACATTTCAAAAACCATCTAAAATCACTGTGACTTGTTATGGCATTTTAAGGAAATTCTCTGTCCTGTCTAATAAAAGGAAAAAGAATACACAACCAGTCTTGATTTGTTGCCATTTTATAAATGATTTTATAGCTATGTCAAGAAAATACTGTTTTTTGTTATTTTAGTAGTTGACGATGCTTTTGGGGGAATTTGTATTTTGTCTGGCTCGGTTTGCTGATGGAATCATTGGTTTTGCAGATGTCTGAGGTGGCATGGTCCCAGTCAGGGTCCCTCCTGCCGGTCCCAGCCCAGGTTTCTCGGGTTTGTTGTTGGCAGAGGTGCTTTGTGTGTGCTGGCAGCTTGCAGGGCGTGTTTGTGAGTCCAACCTGGGACAAGAACAGCAAGAGAAAGGAGGTAGATTTGCTGCATGGGTTCATGTTCGTTGGTTTGTTCTGATCTGACCATGCTTGGTGGGTTTGGAAGGGGATAACTGGGGATGTGTTCCCTTCCAGAGCTCAGGCAGTTCAAACAGCTTTGTTCCCTTTGACAGGGAAAGTCTCTCCTTATGCAGGATCAGTGTGAGAACTCGTGTCTGACAGTGAGATGTGCACCAAAGAACCCTCAGGACCCTCCCATTCCCCTTCTCAGTGTTGGAGCAGACCAGTCTGAGGTCAGTGGCAAATCTCAGAGTGCCAGAGAGGAGGAATGCTGTTTGCTCTGCTGTTTGCCAGCCTGCCCGGGTTAGGATGTGTCGTGCTGCTGGTGGGATGTTCTGGTCCTTGCACTGTGTGTGTAGTTACTGCTGGGAATGATCTCTGTTCTGTCTTCCTCTCTTTTTAAAACAAATATTCCACAGTCCTTCCTGCAGGCAGAACTCTGCTGTGGGCAGCAGGATGTGGTGGGAGGATGGTCCCAACATCTGCCTGGAGCTTTGGGAGGAGGAGTCGGGGTGGCTGTGCCTCCCTGTGCTGTCTGGCTGCTGCAGGAAAATATCTTCATACTCTGCCCAAAAACCTGGCAGGACTTGAGCCTGTTGAGGACTGCTGTGAGCAGTGTCAGGGGTTTCATTGAGAGCATCTGCCTGTTCCATCCTGCCCCAGTAAAACTGCCCTGGAGGCAGAGAAATGGCTGCAGAGGTCAGGGGTGGTTGTGCCTTCTGAGCTGTGTCACTGGGAATTGCATCAAGTCTCTTTATAAAGCTCCAGTTACCATGTGGGTTTTTTTCATGCATCCTTGAGTTCAGGAAGCTTTTTCTGCAGAATGGACAAATCTTGAAGAATTTCTTATCCAAAAACCACATTTAAGCAGATTGATTGTTCTCATTCCAGTCCACCATTAACACTGGGGGATTCCTGGAATCACCAGGGCTTGGTTGTCCTTTGTCCCTGCAGGTGCTTTTCCAAGGAAAGCAATACTGTGTGCCAGTATTGAGAGAGAGCCTTGGGCTTTGGGTCAGTTGTTCCTCATCAGAAACTGCGTGTGTGCAATGGGGTCAGTCCCTTTTCTGGAGGGACACTGTGGCTTTGCCTTCTGCAGCAGCAGCAGGAGAGGGAGGATGAGTTTTTCTGCCTTTTGTTGCACTGTTCCACCTCACAAATTCACAAAATCTCGTTGGAGGAGAAGGAGCCAGGTTGAGAAGGGGCTCAGTGCAGGAGTTTTGGCCGAGCCCCAAGGAGATGAGCTTTTTTGGGGGTTATTGAATGGCCTGTGCTCTATGGACAGGGCTGCTCCTGCCCTCATCTCCTGCCCCCTTACGTTTAGAGCACTGCCTTGCCCAGTTCTGGATCTTGGCCAGTTTTTCTTTCCCCTGGAGTTGTGCCATGCTGTGTCTGATCCCCTTTAGGATCATCCTTGGCCTCCCCTTCAGGAGCATCCCCCTTGGCCAGCCTGGGAGCTGCTCTGGGTGTCTTGTGTCCCCCTGTTCTCATCTGCCTTTTTCAGGGCTGCCAGAAACATTTCTTTGGTGTTTTTTTGTTTTTGAAGTCAGCAAACTTCTGTCTATTCTGTGGGAAGAAGAGCAGTCACAGCCCACCCTTCTCCACCTCTTATTCCTGCTCAGAAATTTAGGATTTACACTGATGCTCTTAGAAATCCCATTCAGTACTGTATGACAAGGGGCACTTTAGGAATGTCTCTCCTCCTTTGATTTATGTTTTCCCTATGGAGAAAGTTATATATAAATATATATGTACACTTGGGGATTCATAAGATCTGTCTCCCAAATGATCAATAAATACGAAGTTTACAAGAAACCTCTTCTGTTGTTGAATAATACTAGTTATTGGTAACCATACCACAGAAACAATAGAAAATGAGGTTTCTATGTAGTAGTTTGAGAAGATTTTCTGTCCTATAACACCTGGCTCAGAGCCTGTTTGTCTGTGGAGATGGTTGTGCCCTGTCAGCCCCCACAGCCCCTGTCGTGCTGCTGACAGTCAAATCATGCTCAGGAGCTGGAGCTGTGCTCAGAGCTCACCCAGCGTGGCTGGGAATGGTGGAGATTGAGCAGATCTGTTGAGATTGAGCAGATCTGTGGGTGCAGAACCCTGGGGATCTGTGGGGAAACCTCATCCTGCCCTGGCTGGGCTGAGCCTGCCAAAGAGGTGCAGGCAGTGCTGCTTTAAATGATCCTGAAAAGAGCTCTTGATGCTGACACTTTAGATACAGGAACCTATTCCTGACCTCACCAATAAAAATGAGCCAGATCTGCATAGTTTATCATAGGAAGGGAAGTTTCCCATGTTGTCTGCAGTTGCTGCAGTGGGATCTGAGAAGCAGCAGGTTCTGTGTCCCTGGGGCACGTGGGGACAGCTGGTGGCCACTCTGACCTGGGGAAATAAGGGCTAGAGCCAAACTGCTGCACAAGTGTGTGTGTGTGTCCATCTGTCTGTCCATGCTGGGGCTGAATGCTGCTGTGGATGGCCAGAAGGGCTCCAGTGTCACCACTGGCCCCTGGCATGGCTGGGTTTTGGTTTCTTGAGCAGAGCTGGACAGAGGGGACAGCCCTTGGCACCCTCAGTGTGTTGGAGTGTTCATCACCCCGCTGAGCCAGCTGCTGCCACTGCTCTTGGGCTCCTTGTCTTTTTCTTCCGTGTTTCATTTTAAAGTGGCCTTCTGTAAGAAAAGAACAAAAGAAACAAAAAAAAAAAAGCCTTTGGATGGTTTAGGTGGAGGTGAGGTGTCGCTGCTGTGTCGGTGTCGGTGTGGTTGTTGTGCGCACGCCTGGTAGAATTGCTGTAGACATGCAATGCAAGGCTTCTCGTGTCTGGTTTTTGTATGTAGCCTGTGTCTTTTTGGACTGGTTTGCATCCTGAGGGCATTTTTTGCATTTAAAGAAAAAGAAGTGAGAACTGTTCCAGGCTGGGTGGGTATAAGGGGTCAGGGGAAGGTGTTCTTTGCCCCAAGTGGTGACGTTGGTGTTGTTTGGCCCCTTTGCCAAAGGGGTGGCTATCGAGTGTCCCCAGCTGGGTGAGCAGCCTTGGCCAGGTGAACCAGTTGAGCTCTGCTTTCCTGAGCACGACTTTGGCTCAGTCCATCTCATTGTTCAGGCACTTGCTTCATTAGCTTAATTAGCTGAATTAGATATGTGGCTGCTGCGGGGCTCTTGGAGCTGCTGTGGTGGTGGGCAGCTCTGAGAACTCACAGGTGAGGTTCCTCTGAGACTGGGCATGTTTTTTTTGTTTTTTTTTCTGAACAGTTGTTCTTTTCAATGTTACTTTGATTCTAAAAGTTATGAGGATGAGGGGAGGAAAACCCTCATATTTATGGTCTGTTTTGCCATCCCTTGTTAACATTTGGGGCAGATTAAAATGGGTTATAACACTATCTTTAGGTTTTTTCTTCCTGAGTGAAAACATCACTTGTTAGAAGCAGATGTTTAGTGTTAAGGAAAATAGGCCGTGGATAGAATCAGTCATGGCTTCTTTCTGTCCCTCTTATACAGAACCTGATAATCCAAACTTGAACCGTTAAAATACCAGCCTGAGCCCAGTGCTGGGTGGGTGCAGTGTTGGCAGAGGTTGTGTTTGGCTGTTCCAGGCTGGCTGTTCCTTGCCTGGAGCTGCTGAACAGTGAAGGAATTCCCTGCTTGTCCCCGTGCCTGCCCTGTTGGTGTGGACACAGGGCTGTTGTGTGCTGGATTTGGTGGGAATGGGCTGTGGGATGTCCCCGTGCTCCTCGTTAGGATGGCAGGGCTGGTTCTGCTCTGCTCTGGGTGAAGTCATTGATTCACCCCGTTCTTGTGCTGTGAACAGAATCTGAGTGTGACAGAGCGTTGGTGCAGAACCCCTGCTCACCAGGGAAATGTCCCAAACTCCCAGTCCGTCTGTGTGGTGAGATTTTCCCTGGCTGGCTGGCTGGCACGTCCTCCCGAGATTGTGTTGTGTGGCGGGCACGGTGCCTGTGCTGGATGCGGTGCCGTCCGTGCCACCGTTGGGATTGCTGCGGTGCTGTGTCTGTGCCACTGTCGGGATCGCTGCGGTGCTGTGTCTGTGCCACTGTCGGGATCGCTGCGGTGCCGTGTCTGTGCCACCGTCGGGATCGCTGCAGTGCTGTGTCTGTGCCACCATCGGGATCACTGCGGTGCTGTGTCTGTGCCCCATTGGGATCGCTGTGGTGCTGTGTCTGTGCCACCGTCGGGATCGCTGTGTCTGTGCCACCATTGGGATCACTGCGGTGCCATCTGTGCCACCGTTGGGATCTCTGCGGTGCTGTGTCTGTGCCACTGTCGGGATCGCTGCGGTGCCGTGTCTGTGCCACCGTCGGGATCGCTGCGGTGCTGTGTCCGTGCCACCGTCGGGATCACTGCGGTGCCGTGTCTGTGCCACCGTCGGGATCACTGCGGTGCCGTGTCTGTGCCACCGTCGGGATCTCTGTGGTGCCGTGTCTGTGCCACCATTGGGATCGCTGCGGTGCCATCTGTGCCACCATTGGGATCGCTGCGGTGCCATCTGTGCCACCATTGGCATCGCTGCGGTGCCATCTGTGCCA